AGTGTCACACACACACACCACACACCAATTCAACCTTGATCAGCTCAGACCAGAAATCTTGCAGCACTTCCAGAAGATAATGACCTCTGGCATCTGATCAGTGACTCTGATGTTGCAAGCCAAAATGTCCTTGAGGGTGGCATTGGGTGCCAAATTTATAATGAAGCTAGACAATGCAGGATAGATGAAATTTGGAACCAAGAGTAACACAGCTCATGATTAGGGGTGTGGGGAGGAATATGACTTGTAAGTCGCATTCACTATAAAGTGTTTAAGGGAATAATCGTTTTACCAAATTAAAACATGAAACATGCAAGGGGTTCCAACTTTGGCTAGTCAAGTGCTTCTGGGAGATCCACATATGTCATATGGGATAACAGCAACAAACCTCATCAACTGTTTGCTTTCCAGCAACTGTGTATTAGTCGCATAACACCTTGGAGGCCTATTTAGCATTCTTGGCTAATAACCATTTGTAGACCTATACCAACCATAAGATTTGTCTGCTTCAGGGATAGCTAGTCTGCTACCCAAATCTGTTTCCTTATTGAAGCAGTCAAAGTCAGGGGTTATTGCCACTCCTGGCAGAAAAAAACTACCAGTTGTGTGAAGAAGTATTTTCTTACATCTATCCTGAATGTATCACCCCTCTATTTTATTGGGCAAGACTGTAAATGTGTCAAGTGTGCACACAAAGACACATCACCCATTTCCTAGAAGACAACTCATCTATTACAGTTTAGGACAATGCTGTGCTAAAAGGTCTATTTTCATGGTGTGGAAACAACAACAACAACAGTTGGGAAATTTGTTGTAGTCTTGGGATAGAAACCAGAATTCTTAGAGATACTGCTGAACTTTTTATTGAGATTTCATAAGCAAAATATAGTGGTGTGATATGTCACTGTGCCTTGCTGTTAACCAGAAGGTTGGTGGTTTAAACCCACCAGGGACAGCTGTGGGCAGGATTCCTACATTCACGGGGCTTGGGCTAGATCACTTCCAAATCTCAAATTCTGTGATTCTATGAAATGCAGTTATCAATAATAAACAGAATCTTTCTTTCCTTATACACAAACAACTGAAGGTCAGAAAATTGTTTGTCCAAAATGATATTTTCCAGGGTTTCTTTTATGTGCACACTATTATATGTAGAAATGTGTCATATACCGCATTATCCTTCATGTGTTACTCAGAAATAAATTTCAATGATTTCAATAGGACTTAAACCCACATAAGATTGTGCTCTGACTCCTCGAGTCGTTGATTCTGTTTCAAGAATGCTTGGAGCTGGTTGAAATTATGTATTTTCTTAATGAGTGGATTATAAAATAGTTTATAGTGAGCTAATGCAAATGAGTTCATTTAATCTGAAAACTGAACTCAGATTTTTCATGTATTTTTTCTTCTTTTTTATTGATGAATGAATTTGTATTATGAAGTTTAGTATGACAGTTATGGATTTATGGGATCGGTGTGCTTTGAGCTGATTGTTTCAAAGTAATATATCCAGCTAAGTTCATATTATTTGTAGCATAATAATGGTTATGCTAGTGAAATGTGATTCTTCCCAAAATAAAGAAGTAACACAAGAGTTGTATTTCAAAGGACCATATTTATCCATTTTTGGATAATTATTGCATTGTTTTCCCACAAAGCCTTACTCATTTGTTTTACTTTCCATGCTGTGAAAATCCCAGGGAAGGCAGTTATAATAATGGTTTGAGCAAGACTGGTGAAAAGCCATTGTCAATCCCCAAAAGCAAGCCCAACATCCTTCCTTCTGAGGAGCCGCTCGGTCCTCTATGCCTAATCTGCTACAAAATGAGTGCATCTTTATACAAGGAGGCTACATGTCAAGACAGGACCATGGCTCAACCATAGCTCAGTGATAGAACATCTGCTTTGCATGCATAACTCCAACTAGGGCTTAGAGAGAGCCCTTCTGAAACCCTGATGAGCTTCTGCCAGTCAGTATAGACAATACTAAGCCTGATAGACCAATGGTCTGACACAGTAGAAGGTTGTTTCCTATGTAGTTGTTTGAACTGTCACTCCCTCTACGTGCCTGTTATTATGCAGTAAGTTATGCTAAGAAGAGGTACAAAATTCCTCACGTGCTAAGTGAGCAGAACGAACGAGCAATTAACCATAACGATTTTAGCATGTGGCCATGTGAAAAAGATTTGGAACCAGTACTCACGCATGACATACGCAACATGGAAGTCAACAGATAACATGATTGCTTCCTACACCACGAAGGTGAAGATTATGACAGAACTGGGCCATGTGTGAGGAGTGCACCCTTCAGCTCCTCCCCATGGCAGCATCACCCCATTTCCTGAAGGGACGTTAGCCTTGCATGGTTGAGGACCATAACAGTCACTTTAAAAGGCCAAAAATAATTATCTGCACTGGCTTTCATGGTGTTCCTCATATTCTTTTTGTTCCTCAGAATTATTCCTGTTGGATTTTTTAAACAAATTACCTCAATATTTCTTAATGAAAATTAAAAAATGGGATGGTATTGATTTTTGTGGATTGAGGGTTTAAGGCTGCAGTTTCAAACACACTTCAAGGCGCCAATTCCTGTTTTAACTTAACAGAACTTATTTCCATGTAAACATGCTTAGAATTGCGCTGTAAAGTCCTCAATCTTTAAATAACTCATTTGGAAGAGTGTCAAGAATGGTTGTGAATTCATTAACATGTAAGGTAAGGACCTCCCTGTACGGTTACCATAAGTCCAGTCAAAGGCGACTATAGGAAACAAGAAGAAGTAAATATGTTTTATACCTCTAAACTAATGTTGGTAATGAATTATTCCCAACTGTTCTATTGCGGGCATCTTTGTTCAGTGTGCGAAGCTAGAACTTTTTGCTGTGGTACTATGTAACACCTTGTCCTCATGTATTGCCTGTTAGTATATCCATGCTACGTCCCATACTGAAGCATTACAAAAATGCCTTTCATAAACCTGACAAAAATGACAAGATGAAAATTAAAAACAACAATTGATAGCATTCCGGAGCTGTTGTCATTTCTCCAGCTTAGTAAGTATCCCAGGTTGCTGCCTGTGTCTATTCCCCTTCAAAAAAACATTCAGTATTCAAAACAAAGGGCCTGTAAAATATTTCTCCAAGGCCTTCTTTCTAAAAGAAAAAATCCTTTCAAGACTTGTTTGATAGACCAATTCTTCAAAGAAGAATAATAGTGGAAAGAAACCAGGCTTTATGGAACAAATCTAGTTGGTCCACCTTTGAAGAGGAACCATACAAATGAATTTGAGCCTCCTAGATATATCGGTAAAATATCTCAAAATGTGAATTACATAGAATCTTTCCTCAGAATTCTGATTGTTAGAGTGGTTGGTTCTTTGTGATGAATATGACCAAAACATTCTGTCCTGAACTTCTCTTTCCTTCTTATTTTTCTCTTTCTAAAAACAATCCACATATACTTCCACATACACCTCACCCCTGAAACATTTAAAGCATATGGGATGTAAATAATACAGTAAAACATCAGGTTTGTAAAGTTTATAACTGATTACATCAGGTAGGTGTCTCCTACTCTCTGTCTGAACAGACTTTTCTAGAGAGAGCCATGGCTGGCATAGCAAATTTGGGATGTGAAGAAACAATACATAGTGAGGTTGCTTGGATCTCAGTGGGGATGCAGGATCAAAGTAGCGTTTACACATGATTATATTTTTATGTTGATTGTGAAATTTTGAGGACATGCTGGAGGGATTATTAAAGGAACCAAAAGAGCCACCTTCCTTTTCCTCTGTCCACACACAATGCACCCCAGCTATTACTTTCCTTGTGGTTCCTATTTTATCCTTTCAGCTCTTTCCTTCTAAGCCAGGCCTAATCTTCACTTCAAGATAGAAGTTCATCCAGAAGCTTCAGGTAGGGAAGAAATACTAGTTGGACAAACAGGAAAGGTGCTTGCCTCCTGTTTCAACTAACAGCTGGCATGTTAATGCCCACAAGGCGGGGGCACTACAGTGGCATACAAAGGCTGTTCTCACCTCAAGAGAGTTTTGTCCTAAAGCCATACATGGTTGAACCAAAAGGTTCTGTAAACACACCAAAAAATGTGCTTTGTCAATATTAAATTATTCTGCAAATTATGTTTCATATTTACTTTCCATGATAATAAGCCTATAAATATTTACTTGGTGCATGCTAATGAGAAAGTTAATGCTCGGCAATTTACATGAGCAAAACACTTTACAAATATTGACTAATTAGCTCTATCAAACAGTTCATAATTAACTGCCAAAGAATCTGATTATGTATGTACTAGACTGTGTGATAGATACACCTGTGCATATTACTTACCTGTCATGCATAAGACTTCAAGCACCTGGAGCGATAATGTAAGCAGCACAGTAATGGAAAACAAAGGCTTGCGAATCAAAATGAGGAGCCACTTTTTCTCAGAGTCTGTCATTAGTAAACAACTTGATGGCTGACTCATGTTTAAGCAATCATACTGATACTATACATGTTCCATCCACTTGAGATGGAATAATTACGGTAACAGATATGGCAAGTTTGTACAGATCTAGAACACAGCAATTGCCACTTGCATTATTTGGGGGGTTAGCGTTTTATTTCTTTAAAATGCTAGTTCACTCTGCATTGCTTAGTTAATAGGATTTCTTTTCCGTTGTGAAACACAGTAGAGGACAATTGTTCTGGAAATGTTATTATGGCACATTTAAATCTCCTCTGCAAACAAAGCAATAAATCTGCTTTGGAAAATTATGTCTACTGGTGGCAATAACCCATTCAAAACCAAGGAAGCAATCTGCTGTTGCCCAAGTTAATATCTACTTGATATTATTATATTCTTAAAGGAAGCAATGCTGCTTCATTAATGAGCCACATTGGCAGATGTTTTCAGAGATACTCATACACTTTAATGCGACTACTTCCACAATGGTAAGTCTGCCAACTGCCTGGAAAACTGCAGGCCTGACCAGTCTGGGAATGCACCATAGCTCAGTAGCAGAGCATCTGTTTTGTATGCATAAGGATCCCGGTTCAATCCCAGGTGTCTCCAGGTAAGGCAGGAAACTCTGTCTGAAACTCTGAAAAAATGCTGCTGATCAGTGTAGTTAATGCTGCTGAGATAGATGCCCCAATGGTCTGAACTGCTGCAAAGGCAGCATCCTATGTTTCCTTTCCCACATTGTGGGGCAAGGATACAGAACACACAATTATTTTGTGTACACACAAAACTACATTATCGCAGTGAGGATGGTTAAGAGCAGTGCAGTTTTTCCTAGGAAAATACAGTAGGTGATGGAGCTCACCATGAACACCTCTCTTGTACTCTTATAATGGCAATGGCACCCACCTGAGAGGGGCCGGAACTGAGTTCTCGTGAGTTCTGGCTGGGAAAAAAGCCCTGGTTAAGAGGAAGCAAGAGTCACATGTGTGCATGTATCCCATCAGGTGTGGGACAGACTCAAATTACTACAGTCACATCATGCTGCTGTTCTAGCAACTACCGTATTTTTCACTCCATAAGACACACCTAGTTTTTAGAGGGGGGAAGAAAGAAAGAAAATATTCTGCGCAGAGCATGTAAGCGGCTCTCGCTTTTCTTGCTTTAAACCCTTCCATCCCTCAAGCCCCCAAGAGCTGCACACATGCTAGGCGCAGCTCTTTAAAGAGCGCACGGCTCTTGCTGGCTTTTTCGGGAGGTGGGGGAAGGGACAGAGGGCAGCCCGCCAGTCTCTTCTCCCTCCTCGGGGAAAAGCCCCCAAGAGCCACACACACACACTCCGTGCGGCTCTTTAAAGGGAGCGCTGAGCAGAGCCTCCCACCTGCATTGGCATCTGGGATGCATACAGGCTCTGCTTTTCCGGGAGGAGGGAGGAGGGACAGAGGCCAGGCCGTCAGTCCCTTCTCCCTCCTTGGGGAAAAGCCATGCTCCGTGCGGCTCTTTAAAGGGAGCGCTGAGCAGAGCCTCCCGTCTGCATTCGCGCCATAAGATGCACACACATTTCCCCTTACTTTTTAGGAGGGAAAAAGTACGTCTTATGGAGCAAAAAATACGGTATATGTTTTAGCCTGCAGAACAAATAACATAAGGTGGTGGGAGATTCAGTCAGGAAATTGTTATAGAGGAAATTATTATTACATTCTTACCCCCAAAAAAACACTGTTCTGATTTAAATCCTTCCCCAATCACTATTCCTTTTAAGTACCTCCTTTTTTAAAAAAATAACTATCCTATTTACAGATCTCTTCTGTCACATCTGCTTTGTCCATTTTATGTAAACATAAAGAAACACTGAATGATAAGTAGTTCTTTATTGGACAAGAACAACAATTCTGCAGCACACCAAGTGAAGCATTATTTGGCTTTATTTATCTATTTGTAAATATTTTTCCTAAGGCAAATTCATGTTCGCAATGGGTTTATAAGACTTAATTGAAAAAGCTGGCAGAGGCCTGTCAGAATCCTATAGTCTCCAGACTTCATATAAAGTATTTGGCAGTCTTTCAACGAAGCCAGATTCCTTGTCAGAGTTGATACATTTATCAAACACAGCACACACATTTTGCATCAGTGACTATAAAAATTGATCTCTGCCACTTGCTTTTATTTCCGTAGAACTCCAGAATTAAAACAGGAGGGGATAAAATAATGAAGCATTGCTTTGTTTTTAAATTTCATATCTTAGATAAACAAGCACACTGATATTAATGAAATTGAAAAGCCCTCCTTTAAATATATAAATAAATAAAAACCATCAAGAAAAGAAGTCACAATGCATATTAGCTGAGCTGCTGAAATTACCAATTACTTTTTAAAAGGATTTGAATTCCATGGATGACAGAAAATAGCTCAGTAGAGACAACTGTTTTCAGACACTTGCTTAATTTTGATACCTCAGAGCCAAATAAAAGGTCTCATTGGTAGGAAATTATATCTAAGTACATTAAGCAAAAGGCATATTTGGTCCAAATACGAAGTGGAAATTAAATCAAATGTTTTCATCCTTTTTCTCAGGTACAGTTGCCACAGGTTAGCTGCAATTTAAATATTGCACTGACTCAAGACACCCAACATTGATTTATGATTGTGGAATATCTGCAGAAGGTGGTGGTGAGGATGCTTCATACATTTCATAAGCACTCATCAATTTTAATTTCTGTTCTCAAGCCTGGGTGCTCTTGTGATTCCTTCACTGAACCTTCCAGTTATGTATTTTCCTCTCATGTTTAAGGAGGGAAAGGTTTATTATCTACATAATAGACTTCTCTTAAAATCACACCAAGTGTTAATATGAAATGTGCAGAAGTGTTCAATGAGCTGAAAGTACAGTCAGTTGAAAACTGTGCGCTGTCACGGCCACCAAACGCACCATTCCAAGGAAAGGGACAATGTTGGAAGAGGTGCTGACTCTTGGGTGCATGGGCCAATTAAAGACCAGTCTGTCCCAATTCTGCAAGGGGAGGCGACTACATCTGTCCCATTCTGTGCAGATCTTTAAATACAAATGGGAAGTCCAAGATCATTTTCAATCAATACATAAAAGTACCTGCAAGGCAGTCCAAGGGCTGTAGCATTGCCCCTCTTCTTCTAAAAGAGATTTCTGTCCTTTAAACTTGTAAAAATTGCTACTCTAGAGGCCCACAGCCTGAAGCAAGTAGCGCATGGGGCTTATTGCCACTGTCTGCTTTGGATGCAATAAAGCACATCCTCAGAGTGACAGAATTGGTGAAGTTGCATTGATTTGGGGGAGAATGGGCCAGGAAAAAAACCACAGCTGTCCCCAGTTAAGAAATGTTCAAAGAGCTGAAAGTACAGTAGGCTGAAAACGTGCATTATCATATCACTGTTCCACTCCTCGTAAAAGGAAGAGGTGATGACCTTGGACCATAAAATCATCTTTTGCTGCACTTATTTAGAATCCATGTATGCCAGGCTCACATTCCTGGCTATGGCAGATAGAATCATAGAATCATAGAATCATAGAGTTGGAAGAGACCACAAGGGCCATCGAGTCCAACCCCCTGCCAAGCAGGAAACACCATCAGAGCACTCCTGACATCATCACTATGAAGTCATAGAATTGTAGGATTGTAGGATCATAGAACTGTAGAGTTGGAAGGGACCAAGAGGGTCATCTAGTCCAACCCCTTGCAATGCTGTTGGTGCTGCCACCCAAGAAGACTATCTGTAGAGCCCTTTTAATGTTCTTACCCTCCTGTCTCTCTATCACAACCACTTACACTGTACTGACATATGCAATGACAGAAGGAAATGCCTCTGAGGAGGTAAACCAGGGGTATTCAATTTCCCTACAGCAGTGATGGCCAAACTTGGCCCTCCAGCTGTTTTGGGACTACAACTCCCATCATCCCTAGCTAACAAGACTAGTGGTCAGGGATGATGGGAATTGTAGTCCCAAAACAGCTGGAGGGCCAAGTTTGGCCATCACTGCCCTAGAGAATCCTGTCTATGGGTGGGTGCTGTTATTGCAGATGACCTTCATATGGTTACAACTGTGTGAGAAAAAAATTAGGGTTCTGCTTGGGTTATACTGTAAGAAAAACACTGGGGCCAAATACGATTGGTAGAATGTTTGGTATCTGGTGGGCGGGGCTTATGTGTTGGTTAAGGTTGAAAGGTTGGTTAAGGTTCAGGGACCAACTGTCTCTTCTTGTTCCTTGCTTCAGACTTGCCTCATGTTGTTGTATTTAATTTATCTCATTATATTATTTTGCAATTTTCTTTTATTATTAAAGCTTAGTTTACATTTACATGAGCCACTTACGTTTCTCAAAGAAAAAGAAACTCTGCTGAAGAATGATGGAATATTCTAAACCTGTGTGAGTGAGGGGATATTCCCAGTCTGCTGGGAAAATTGATTTTGTTAATCATCCCCTCACCTCCATAACAGAAATTGCATAGCAGACTATCAAGGAAACCTCAATCCTCCTTAGCGGATATTCAAATTCCTCCTGGTATTTTCTTATGAAGAGATTGGCAGCAATTAATTCAGAATTCGGTAACAATTCTCAATAAGATTAAAATCTAAAACCCACCCCATAATCAGTGTAAGCCAAGCCAAATAGAAAGTGCTTCTTAGACATGTTTCACCTCAGCTTTTTAAAATGTATTGAAGTTAGTATCTACTCACTGCCTGACTAACTATGGGTTAAAACAAGATCATGGGGGGAAATACTCCAAAAAGTGTAAACATCATATAAGAGGTGTGATGAGAGAGTCAAATTACCGTATACATACATACCCCACTATTTACATATTCAAAGTTTTGCATCTCTGGGCTTAAAGGTAAAGGTAAAAGCACCCCTGACCGTTAAGTCTAGTCGCGGACGACTCTGGTGTTGCGGCACTCATCTCACTTTACAGGCCGAGGGAGCCGGCGTTTGTCCGCAGACAGCTTCTGGGTCATGTGGCCAGCATGACTAAGGTGCTTTTGGAGAACCAGAGTAGCGCACGGAAACGCCATTTACCTTCCCGCCGGAGCGGTACCTATTTATCTACTTGCATTTTGACATGTTTCGAACTGCTAGATTGGTAGGAGCAGGGATTGAGCAATGGAAGTTCACCCAGTCGTGGGGAATCGAACTGCCGACCTTCTGATCGGCAAGCCCTAGGCTCTGTGTTTTAGACAACAGCGCCACCCGTGTCCCATCTCTGGGCTTACTCATAGTATATTCATTTATTTCTGAGACCTCTTTGGGGAAGGAAAAAGCTAAAGAGTAAACACTACACAAATCTGGAGTCCCTAAGATGGTTTGATGGCGTCTTGTATACCTCCTTCAGGCAACTCCTGCAGCCAAGCTGGTGCCAAACACATTGGTCTGCTTTCCTTTGGAGCACATCAGTGAGGTTGAGAGGGGGGTCTTGCCATCTGACCAGTCCAAGACCTCCATACACACTGCCCAGGCTTGCGTCCTGGATAACTTACTTTGATGCTGCTAATGCAGCAAAAACCATGTGGGAGGCAGCAGTTATGAGTTACTGGTCTCTGAAGCCACAACAGGTGCTGTGAGTCTCCAGCGGTTTGACTTTGCTGCCAGAGGTGCACTCCCTTTTCCTTCAAGATAGATGGAGAGATGGGTGCCAACAACTCTTCATAAACCTTCCATGGTGCCAAAGATGTTCTAATGTGGTTGGCTGCACCTGATAGATTTCTTGTTTTTGTTCTATTGGCCATTCCAAACAACCGTCACAGGCGCTCATGGCTACATGTCTCATCTAAGAGCCAAGCTCCTTATTTGCTCAGTAAACTATGACAGTCTTTGTGAGGTTTCTTTTTTAAGAGAGAAGGATGAAACTTTTGTGCTTGATTTCATATTTCATTTAATTACTATCAACAGGGAGTTGAGAAGGAAACATTGGCAAATCATTCTGTCATTTTATTCTCACTATGAATTATTATACTGGGCCTATTATAAATAGTTCATCTTCCATCTGTGCCTTTTCTTTGTTAAAATGCTGCCAGTTTCAAAAAATGTGCCATGCAAAATTGCAATTTAAAAATGTTTCTTTTCTCTGTTGGTGATTAGAACGAGTCATTTTCTTTGTCTACCAGGTTTCTGAGTTTAATATAAATAGAACAGAATCAATATAAAGGATGCTGCATTGAGGTTTGTAGATCACATTCCTGAAATGCTTGAAAATATGATGTTATATTAATGAACACCAGGAGTCTAACAGCATAGCAGTAGAAAAAAGCAGAAAAACTGAGCAATATAGGAAATTAAGGTTGTAATCCTATGCATACTTGCCTGGGAGTAAACCACACTGAACAGAGTAGACTTGATTTCAAGTATACATGTATAAGATTACATGGTAAATGTTGGATTCTGTTGGAAGAGTTTAAAATATAATTACAGAATCCATATTAGGAAAAGCAGAAGAAAGCATGTGACCAGTTGTGACCTGTTTCAACCCACACTCATGTCTGGTCTTTTGTGTATGCTTATCCTGGTCACAGGAGGTGATCTAATGTACCTGCTTAGCTCTTATTCCTACTCTCTTCTTCCTGTTACTTAACCTTAATCTTCACTCACTTACTCTGATCTGTAAGACATGTCTCTCCTGTTTGAAAAATTCAGGCTGAGCTGCAGAATTACTTGAGTCTCAGAATTATCTTCCTGGGACCTGCTGAAAGAATTGCTGTTTTCTTCCAACTGTTATTCTTTCTGCCAGAGCTATGCAATGGTGGCACAAGACTATATTTCATTTGGCGATGATCCAGCAAAGAAGCATCTGCAAAACGTCCCAGAGCAGATGTGCAGCTGAATAAAAACTGATGCAAAAAAAAAAGGTTTTGTTTTTTTGAAAAAAATATCCAACTTTCAAATTAAAAACCCTACTCTCTGCCAAAGTTCTGATGTATAAATGGAATGCTTAATAGGCTGCAGTGGTATAATTAATTCATCATCATTAATAAAAGTACACTGCTTTCCTAACTCAGCTATTTGCCTGACTTCTACAAAAGAGAGGGATGGCCGCCTTCAAAGGTCACACTCTGAAATGCATATGCCAGCTGATCATCCAGGGCAAGGACAAGGCTTTGTGGTTGCTGCTGATCAGCTGAGAAACCTCTTTCACCCAGCTTTTCTTTTAGCTATTGCCTCGTACAATGTCAGGTGTAGGGCAGATAGGCATGGCTTGGCCAAAATGGACTTTTGGACCAAATGAGAGGGCCTGATGGGCCTTATTAGGCCCACAGGTTGGAAGCCTCACAGCCATGGTATAGGACATCTCATTTGCTGGTCTAGAGATGGGATACTTTTAATTCCTAACAACATACTTGTCCGGGGGCGGGAAGGCAATTCTCATTGCCTCCTATAGCCTCATATTCTGCTTGTTCTTGAGCACAGTTTAGTCTGGAAAGGGGTCTGATATATGTATTTAAGATTCAATGTATTTTTCTTACACTGAAGATATGGTCAGGAATTTATGTTGCGTTGGACTCAACAAATTGGCAAAGGACAGTAGCTCAGTTGGTAGAGCATCTGCTTTGCAAGCAGAAGGTCTCGGGGTTAATCTGTGGCATTTTCAGGTAGGACTGGGAACAGTTCCTGCCTGTAACCCTGCAGAGCCCCTGCTGGTCATTGTAGATTGTCCAAGACCACTTGCTGTGTTCCTGACCCATAGTTGTCTTGCATGAACAGAATGGCACTTCTGATTGCATAAGGTCCCTCCCCTCCTGATTTTGCTGCTTTCCCCACTTCAACTGCAGCCCCTACTGTTGTATGTCAGGCCATTCCAGAGGACAACCAACCCTCAAGTGGGCAGAGCTGAACAGAAAAGTCCAGTTGCAAAAGTGGAATGCTCTGGATCTAGCTCTATGTCCTGCAAAAGAGAAGGATACAACAATCCGATGGACTCACTTTAGATTAGGGAATGCCAGGGATTGAACCAGGGATTTTTTTAAACTGAACAATATCCCATAAATGCTTTAAATAGTACTGCTGGCCATTGATTACAGTGTAGTTTATTCAACATCCTATGCGCTCCCCAGCATCAATCTAGAAAGCAAAATAATACTACTGCAAACCCAACATACAGCAACACCAACACTATCTTACAAGTCATTGCCTGATGATGTCCTGGTGTTACCTGTCCCTCAATCTATAGTAATGATGGAATGACTGTATGATATTATACAACCTAGTACAGACAGAAAATATAACATGGTGGCACTCTATCCAATGACAACTGTAGCGCTCATTGCAAAGTTCAGCATATTCCAGGATTCCCATTGGACTGGGCTTTAAAAGCTATTGTAGAACAGACACTGACAGCTGTAAGCAAACACATAGGGGCCCATAGCACAACAGGACTGATGTTTCCCACTGTAACACTGTCAGCTCAATAGCTCAGCCAGGAGTCAGCTCTTATAGGCACCCCTCAGGCATCCAGGATAAGCATTCAAGTTCTGTTAGCCCCATCTTACCTTGGAGATGCTATCAATAAGGCTCTAAATAACACAGTTCCATCATTGTCTGTGTGAAAGGATCAACACAGAGGAATGATGCCCCATTACTCTCACTCGTGCTCAGCTGGGCAGACCTCATATTAATGGCTAACCTTTGTGTTTCCCTCCCATTTAAAGACTCATCCTAGGTAATGGTTTCTGACTTAAGTTCCACTTCTCCCCGGCCACCTCACCTCCAGTGCCATCCACTCTGGGCCCTTGCACTGGTAGAGTTATGTTGGTGTCAAGGTCCTGTTAGTGTAACCATCATGACATCTTAGAATGATAGAATTATAGAGTGGGAAGGGACCACAAGTCCAACTGCAATGCAGGAATCGTTTGCCCAATGTTTGACCATGCGCTGGCCTGTATCCCCAATTCTGGCATTATCAGGGTACATTGGTGCAAGTAAGGAGATATAGTAGCTCTTTGATCCAACTGATATAGGTCATGGGGATATGGTTGTACTTGACTAAGATTGCTACAAATAGATGGAAGCTCATTGTTATTTCCTGCTTTTCAGGTGGAGCTTGCAAATCAGTTTACATAAAATGATTGCAACAAAAATTGCAAATAAACATTATACATCAAAACTTAAAAGGAAAGTTTGTCTTGAAGAAGCTGGACCTGCTTCTTCTCTGTTCTTCTCAGGGAGAAGAACTGGGAGATGGAGAGGGGGGCTGCATGGTGACTCGGAGTAGAACTGAATACTTCTAAAAGTGTTATTCACATTCCTTATTTTCTATGGTGTAATCAAGTACTTCTTGCAATGATTTTTTCATAGATGATGATGCTCTATTACAAACACAGAACTGTAACTGCCTAAATAAGGCTTTTAAAGGGTGAAGTCAGGGTAAAAGTATTGCACTTCCATGAATTTAAATGTAGCCTATATTTCATTTGTCTTGCTATTGATCAGCTGAAACCACTAACTATTTTCCTTTCACACTGAGAAGAAAAATGATAAATGATTAATAAAATGATGGCATCCATAGGAAATTATTTTTCCATGGAGCATTTTCACTTCATAACAAAGGCTTCAAAGAAAAGGCAACATGCTTCACAGAACGGAAACTAACTGGCTGCTAGCATAAGATTCTATCTCTCCATAAAATATTTTCAAAGTGTTCATTCAGCATGAAAACTTTTCCATCTAGTACATTCTATCAAACTTACTTTACTGAAAAAGTATGATTTTCTAAATGTTTGTACTGTTATATCCAGTGCTTTTTTTCTTTAAAAAAAAATGTTTAGGAGTACTCTCATTTTCCTACTCATATTGAAATACTGCCCCTCAACGAGGCTAGATTCACAAAATGTTTTGGGGTATGTGTACCCCTGCGTGCCCCCAGAAAAAAAGCACTGGTTATATCAACCTGTAAATCAATCCTCACACCATGACCCATAATGTTATACTAAATTGGATTCTCCTCAGAGAGGGTCCTGGTTGCGCGTGGGCCTCAGGACGCCCCCAGCATATTGGCAGGTCCAAGGGATGGAGCTAGGCTTGCATAAAATTTAAACGGCAGCACGACGTGGCCCACTGCACTTGATTCGCACTGCCGAATACCCGCCCCCCCTCTCTAATTTTAAGTTGTGCTCCTTTGGCCTTGCTTCGGTTTGGGTCGCCTGCTTTGGAGCAGGGGCTAGGTAGAAAATTTTTTCATTTGGCAGATTGGCTGTAGCCACTTGGTTTTCACCTACCCCCTTAGCAATCATCACAACTTTGTAAGGTTTGGCGGTCAGGCATTGGCTTAATGAAGTGTGTGGGAGGGGAGGTGCAGCCATCACCTGCCCCTCCAGAAATAGGGTATTCCAGTAAAGGAATCTGGGGGTCCTGGGTCTCGTCTGAAGTCCGCTTGAGGGGCTAGGGCCATGCCAGGGCCATGCCAGGGCCACAGGAACCCAGGGGGGAGCTTCAGTCGATTTACATCGATGTTGCTCCCTCGTTTGGTGTTTACCCTTCCATACTTTCTGCCAGAAAGGCAGGAGTCAGTTATAGTCGTTGCCAATGCCTAAGCCAATACCACTCACTGTTGCTGTATTCAATAAAGTTGTGGCCAAAATTATGCCCAATAACTTAAACTAAATTATGTGTCAGTGTCAAGTTATTTACTTGGGTGTGGCTCAGGGCCTCGAGGCGCAATACAAAAGCTGGTAAGCCCCATCTTTATTTACTGCAAATCTTAGAATCTGAGTTACTACCACTACCCAAATTGGTTGGTTGATTTAAATATTTCTATACCACTGTATTATAAAAATATACCACAGTGGTTTACAACAATATAAAAGCATAAAACATACAGTAAAATAATAAAAAAAATTAAAGCAAAGATTTTAAAGCAAACACAAGTAGACCATTGTGGGTGATGTACTCTTGATAGTCTGCAAAAGTTTTCAGCAGGCATTTAACAGTTGCCACAAAAGGCCCCCGCTGGGTGAGTTCACATGGATAGATTCAGATGGATGATCAGGTTGTCACTGAAATGGTGAAACCACAAAGTTGTAACAGTGAGGGTGAATGTCTTAATGACATCTCACAGCAGTTCACCATGTCCAAACTCAGTCCACATGTCAGAGCTGAGTTGGTCTGCATTTCAGGCCTTTATCATAGAAGGCTGGATGAACGATGTGCACTGTATGTTATGTTGGTGGCATGTAAAATTCATCACACTGCACCCATTTCTGGCTGTTGTAACAAATTAAAATCAGCCTTTGGGACAGCCATGAAAGGAATTTCAGGAAATGAATAACTGTAATCTTATTACTGTCACTCCTTAGTGTATCAACTGTTTATCTCAGTATACCCGAAGTATTATGCCAAAAATGCAGTCAGCTCTTCAAAGGACGAATTTAATCTTAATATATTATTAGCATAACTCAACCATTCAAAAATGTTCCTACAAATTCACAGACCTCTTGAATTGTTTCTAAGCTGGCTAAGGTGCAGACCCCACAATAAACCCCATGAATCAATCCATCAGGATCTAAATTATGACCACTCTTCTTACAGAATTTCTTTTGACCGATCCTTCTATCCCTAATGGCAAATATTGATCAAATGTTTGATAAACCAATAAGCAGCTGGATATGTCAAAGTCACCCATGTACTTCTTAACATGGAAGTAGGTTGATGTAGGTACTGGTCCATGTCTTCTCCAAAACTCCTGAGTAAGCCCCAGATTTGATTGCACATAGGATCTCCTAAGGCCTGTTATCTCCCTATCAACACTAGGGCTCTCCCAGTTTGTTTCAGGCCCCACACATCAAGCAGGCCACACGCTGGATTTGATCTTTGGCGTAGGTATAGATGTGATCATGTCTCCTTCAATTAAGGTGCCATGGTCTGATCACTACGCTCTGAAAGCCAGGATTGACTTTCCACCCCCACCCTGCTTAGGTGGCGAGCCGATTTGGGCTCGCCCGCAGAGGCTGATGGACCCTGATAGATTCCGTCAAGCCTTGCGGGACCTTGCTCCCCTGGCGACTCATTGACTGAGCTTGTTGAGGGCTGGAATACCCAGCTCCTGGCAGCCATAGATGAGATCGCACCTAAGCGCCCTCTGCGACTCCGCAGAAACCGGGCTCCTGGTTTACCGAGGAGCTCGGAAAATGAAGCGGGACCTCAGACGGCTAGAGCGAGTATGGCGGGGTGCCCGTGACGGAGCCTCAAGAACATCTTATAGGGTTTTTATGAAAACCTATGAGATGGCGGTGAAGGCCGCTAAGAAGTCTTACTTCTCGGCCTCCATTGCATCCGCTAGCTCTCGCCCGGCGCAATTATTTAGTATAATTAGGTCTTTAACGTCCCTTGAAGGACAGCCAAATTTAAATAACAATCTGACACACAGCTGTGAGGCATTTGCGAAGCTTTTTGCGGAGAAGGTCCTGTTGCTCCGCCATGACCTCCCTGCCAATTTGGATACAATAAAGGAACTGGAGGCCCCTCGACTGTCCTCGGGTCCAGTATTGGACCACTTTGATCGGATATCCCCAGCCGATGTGGACAGACTCCTCCGAGCTGGAAAGCCCACCACCTGTCCTCTTGACCCGTGCCCGTCTTGGCTGATTAGAG